TTCAGCGGGGGCTTTTACACCAGCCTGCATTAACATTTCCGAGTTTGAAATATCTCTGTGGGTTTTAATGGGTGTTCCTTAATCTTTTCAAGGACCTTTTTGCATTCGGCATCGAAAATGGGCTTAGAGCACATGTATGTTGAGCTACAGGGTGCTCTAAATGGAGACCTGGAGCTGTAACAGAGGCACACACACTCTAGCATGTTGGCCAGTAATCCCCCCATGTCTGAAGCCGACTGCAGTGACAGTTAAAAACTACAATGGAAGTGTAACATTATCTCCGTAAAGCTGGTTTTCATCCTAGATGTGCATTATCTATCATAACTCAGCTCTGACTCTGCTGTTTCACTACATGAGTTATTCCATTATAATGAACCACAGTGGTTCTCTAACCCCCCCCCCCCCCCCCCCTCCCCCCTTTGCACTGTTTGGAAGGTGAGACGAAGATCAAGGCGCTGCGTGTTGATCCTAGCTCAGGAATGGAGAGCCTGTGTGTAAAAAGTCTGGCTGTAGACAGGCCCGGTCCTGCTGGAAGCTCCGCTACTCCCACACACACTCTGACCCCGCGCCCATTCACAACCCTCTGCCATCTCAAATCCACGGCGTCTGTGGACGCAGGATCCCAGCCCTGCGGATTGTAAATAACACACGCGGAGCTATCGCGCAGCAGAGCCTTGTTTGGCAAACATATATGGAACCGGTGTGTGTGTGTGTGTGTGTGGGGATGGGGGGGTTCCCGGGGGAGGAGGGCTTGTTGTGGTCTGTGTCTGCTTGAGAGACGGCGTGACAACACCTGGACGGCTGCTCCCAGCAGAGCAGCCAGGTCAGCCGCATTAGCTGCTCAAGCTGCAAGGTCAAGGTCTGGACAACAGCTCAGCGGGGCCTTCTGTCGGGTTTTTTTTGGGGGGGGGGGGGGGGGGGACCCCGCTTCCCCACAGCTGGCCCGGCCGGGGATCGCTTACAGTGCGGCTCATATTTGTGGAAATCAGACAAAGCGGGAAAGAAACGTTAGGAAGCTTCTCTTTTTTTTTTTTTAAACCAAACATATGTTGGAGAGTATTTGTGTGTGTCCTGGAGAACAAAAGCTCCTTATCAGTCTGATTACAACATGAACTGTGATATGCGGGCTTCGCACTGATAGATGAAAGATCTGTTTGATGTTACAGTGAAACCAGAACCTCCTTTACGCATCAAAATGATCCCAATTTCACATTTTTAGTGACAATTCTGATTCAGCGTCATGGCCGATGATGGCGTTTCCCTCAAACACTCATCCAGCATCGTTTGCACGAAGCCAGTTTGTGTACAAAAGGAAGAGCAAGCAAGCAGAGATTTACCACAGCCGATCTCTGCTGGGCTTTATAAACTGCAGAAGGACAAAAGACCGAAACATTTTCAAGAATTACAGCAGACTGATACCAACGGCTCTAATTGATCTAAAATTTTAGCAAATTCTTTGACTTCTTTTGATGTTTGGAAAACATTTGTCTTTTTTTATGTATGTCTATCAAATCTATTCAGAACACAATTAGAAAAAGTATATTCCATAAATGCTTTAACATTGCATTTAATCCTTTTTATATCACTATTTTAAATCCAACTTGTTTAAAATAAAATCTGATAGTGAACCGTATAATTTTTGCTGAATATTATTGTGTAGACGTCTGCAGAAACTTTTCTGAATATGATTTTAATGCCATACATAAATTCATACAAAGACATGTTTAATATTCTGATGTCTTTTCTTTATATAATTACTGGTGAGAAGTTGGTTAATGGTTAACTTGCAAAGTCACGTCTACAGTTTCAGGAATTTGTTAAATGGAGTTTTATGGGAGTTTTATATTGAGAAACAATAAAAATGTCATTAGAATAAGGTCGGTGTATGGACTGTTCATCATCACAGGCTCATTATAATTCACTCCTGCTCCCTGTGGAAATATTAAGGTGCAATTCCGGAGACTTTGCGGCTGGAGAAGAAAATCCCCGAGCAGCCGCGCTGCAGCCCCGGTGCAGCCAGCTTTCTTATGCTAATGCAGGTCTGACATCAGCAGTGAGATCAAAGCAGGGCAGGGGTACTTTAGAGCTCAGTCTGCCCCCACTCAGCTCATTCTCTCTCCTCCACTCCCAGCCGTTACGCACACGCGCGCTGACCGACACCGCTCTGACCCACACCATGCGTACCTGTCCGGAGCCTTTCTACCACCCCGAGCTGGATTTTACTCCTGCGTCCGGCTGATAAGGACTCGGAGAGCTGACTGAAAGGATATTCCGACCTGCTGAGATTTGACTTTTTTGCTGAGCTGGAGAGCAGAGCGCCGCGCAAAGGTGAGCTGGAGCTGGAGCTGCTGCCTGAGGCTGTGCTGCCTTTAGCTTTAACGCAAAGGCATTATCTTTGGGTTAGAGCTGAGGTATAGATAAGGGTCTTGTAGTTTATGACACATGTCCATAGATTTAAGCGATTAAAAAAAAATCCTTTCAATCTAAAACTAATCCTAAACTTTTTAAAATGAGTTTCCAGATACTTGTTTTAGCCTTGAATGTGGCTTTAAAGAATATTTGTATTTAAAAGCAGTTTTTGACACTATTGTAAGATTAGAAACTCGCTTAGCCCGATCTTAGAGCTCATTGTGTGTCCAGTTTCTCTTATTTCAGCCGGATGAGAAACCGTGGATTAAAAAGAATAAATACTTTGGATTGTGTATGTAAATCCTTATTTGTTTTAGCACGAGCTGTTCGGAGCACTTGGGTAACATGTAAATGTAAAAAGCCCTAATTCCTGGTTTGCCATTGATAATCAGTGATAGGTTAACTCTCCTATTATCTTACCTCACGGGTCAAACACTTGGGCTTTGAAAACAGTCGTCAGACACGTCGGTCGAGGGGTTTCGCTGTGCTCATTTGAATAAATTAATGTCAGTGGATTTCACAGTTTCGGAGGTGTCTTAACCGAGCGGTCACGAGCACCGGAACTGGCCCCTCAGAAGCGCGCAGCGCGGCTCCCTGCAGCCTTTACGCGCTCCCTCAGCCCTTCAAAGGGGCTTATCGACACCTCCGAGCCCTATCAGACACTGCTCTGATGCGCTGCCCTGTCCTCTGACCACTAATCGCTGCCTCGATCCGGGCTGGTGTCTGGAATTCTTAACATTTTTCCGCGCGCTGTACTGGTGACCCCAAATTGAATTTCGGGGACTAAAATGTAGGACCTGGTCCTGGGAAACAGGCCCGCTGTCTAAATATGTCCGGCTCAGAGTTTAGCGGTAGTTCACATAGTTGTATAATCTTTAACCTAATTAATTCGTCTTTTTAAATCTTATTTAAGCAATACCAGGTCCAAAACAAACCCACAGGATTTAATCAGCGTGCTGATTAGTGGATTCATTTGTTGCTAATAAGGCGATTGAGAAATAGTAAAAGTAGCTCAATAGATTTTCTTCCTTCAAACTGAATTTTTGAGGAAATGCAGGGAAACTTCTGTGGCCCTGTTAATAATTATTTTGTTTCTGCTGAATTTGTTTCTGTTACCACACTGGAAACAGAAACAGCTATGTCTGCAGCGAGCTTTAGATTTTTAGTGGACTGCCAGGAGACTTTTTCCCAAAAAGCGCCGGCCTGCTCAAGTCCAAGTTTTTGGATTGTTCAGGAGCACGTGCAAGACTGCTGGAGCGAGAACAAAAACTCTGAATTCGCTCAGTCAAATGTACTGATTGTAATGCTTAAGCTGTTATTAAGATTATAAAAAAAACTGAAGAGTAGACTTTTTTTTCCCGAAGGTCTCAGAGCGCAGGCTTCCATTTTCTACAGTTTTCATCAAGCCGTTATGAGCATTCCAGTTGGCTCGGCATGGCCCCGGGCAATCATTCATATCATTTCCATTATTTATTCCAGGATTTAGTGGAGGAGCCGTGCCATGAGAACTGACCTCTGAGTGGGAGCCCAGCAGCCCTTTGTATTTGTATCCCGCGTGAACTGGAGCCACCGTTGATCATGAGGAGCAGCTCCTTCTTCCTGCCTCTTGGTGTGCTCTCGGCTCTGCTGCTGTCTCAGGTCTGCTCCGGCATCAAATGGCTGTAAGTATTCTCTGGGGCGCCGCCACCTCGTTCCGCGGGGCCGGTGACCATCTCTGCCCCGCTTTGCATGCGAGCACTGTTAACGCGCATGATGTAATGAGGGGTAAGTGATATTGTTTGCGTGTTTTATGGAGTGTAGAGACCATGGCAGCTTGGAATTGGGCCCCAACATTCTTCAGGTTTCCGCTGTGTACAGTGTGCATGTTTATCCGATCGACTGGACAGTAAATTAGTCGGTGGTTCTTCAGCTTGTATATGGAAATCTCCTTGTTTTACTTTTAAATGTGGGCCGTGTAAAACGAGACCCAGTGCGTGTTTCGCATCCGATCGCAGAGATAAATGATCTCTGACTGTATGAGACAAAGAAGAAGAGTCATGGCGGCGAGGCGGCGGCGTGTTGGTGGCGTAGACAGCGCCAGGGCTGCCGCTTCTTTCTGTGTGTAGTCTGCTTCGACCTCAGATCGTAAAAATAGTTTGCTGGCGAAAGAGGCCGTGATGCTGTGAATGTCGATTGCTTTTTACTGAGCGCCACACTGTTTTCATTGTTGAGTAAAAGCAAATAATAATTTTCACAGTCATTTTGGGAAGCCCGTAAAATTCCCAGGTTGCTATTTTTTGAGCGCGCCGGCCTCATTTGTGCGCTTGGCGTCTTCGGAAACAATTGGAAATTCACGTGCTTTGTGTTGTAATGTTTGGAGTTTTTACCTCTTTGGTTTTCTTCCGATAATGTCGAATTACGGCGTTTTGCTGGGCCCAAAATCTCATGGGTCGGTGATCTGAATGAGAGAGCAGATGTGGCCTTAAGGTGCCCGTAAGGGTGGCATGTGCGAAATCCAGCGGGGAAGTCTCGCAGTCCTCACGATGCTCAGCGGGCAGATGCAAAACAGATGCAGCTGTAAACACCTGTGAGTGCCGGGTTACGGCGAGCACAGCGGAGCTGTAGTTTATTGTTGGGCACATAGTGGCGGCCCCTCGGCCCCTAATGCAAAACAGGCCGAGGTGGAGGCAGCGCTGCTCGGTTCTCACGGGCTCTCCACAGAGCACAGCGCTCACGGGGCAGAGATCAGAGCCAACCTGCCTTCCGGCGCTTCTCTATTAAGCAAATCCCTGATAATTTGGAACCGTTTAAATCAAATGTGTGCACGCTTTCATAGTCGGTAAACAGATGATTGGCGTCAAAGCGAGGCCACAGAGGAGGGCGCCTTCTGTGGTGGAAAATTCAAGCGGTGAGGAATCCACAGTTTCTCATCTGCTTTAGAAACTGCATTTAGTGAGGCTCTCCTTCTTTCTGGCATGCCTTGAGACCTCTGAGTGCTTTAACAAAAGAGAAGCCCCGTGCCAAGAAGGTGTCGCTTGTGTTTTATGAATCCGCTGCTGACTTCCCTTTGAGATTTCCACCATGATGAGACGGCTCGCTGCCGCGTGACTTGCCAAAATCTCCCGCTGCCGGAGGCACTATCTGCCTCCATTTTTTTGTTGTTTCTTATAATACATTTTTTTTTTAACGGCTCACGGGCAAATCAAACTGCTGACACAGCAAATAAACCCTCAGCTTTTTGATTCCCATAAAAGTGATTTGGAAGTGAGCGCCTTTGTTGCCGTTGCGGCCGCACACAGAGGGATGTGTGCGTGTCAAAGTTTGACGTTTGGACTCTGTTTGTCTTGTTTCAGAACACTTTCGCACACTCCCGCCTCCTTGCACGTCAACCAGTCCCAGCACTGTAAGCTGCTGCCGGGCATGGTGTCCTCCCAGGTGCAGCTGTGCCGCAGCAACCTGGAGCTCATGCAGACCATCATCCAGGCCGCCCGCGAGGTCAAGAAAACCTGCCAGAAGACCTTCTCTGACATGCGCTGGAACTGCTCCTCCATCGACATCACCCCCGACGCCCCCAAATACCGGCCAGACCTGGACAGAGGTACGGCTGCTAGCGGCCTGCAGTGACCGAGGCTTGGTAAAGGGAGAGGAAGCAGGTTTCCAACCCACAAAAATTCGGGTTTTTAAACGACGCAGCCCCCCCAGCTGCCAGAAAAATGACTCCACAACGAGCCCTCACCAGGGATTTGTTCTGAAGCTGTTATTTGGCATAATAATTGGTTTGTTATTTCTGAGATCCACATAATTCTCCGGCTTCACGCCTGTTAGTCCTGTAGTTTGACCTAGCTGCTTCTGCTGCCAATAAGACCTTGAATCAGCCAGAGACGGTTTCAGTGGAGTGCAGAGGGAGGGGGTGCAGTGAAAAAAAAGAAAGAAAAGGACATGTCTGCCTTTGGGTAAATGAACAGTCTGCATTGGACAGGAAATGGCTCATCTCTGTCCTGGCTTGGCTTTGATCTAACCAGCCCACGGTCATACATGATTTCCTCCTCTACTTCCAATTGCTCCCATGCTTTGACATATGTGCTCTGAGTGTATGCACATCACCGCCAATTACATCAGCGCTCACTCTGCATTACAGTTTGAGCCGTGATGTTTAAAAGATACATATCTCCTGTTCCGTTTCCTTTTCACAGAGTAAAAAAAAAAAGTTAAAAGGAGAAACAGGCTGGACTCCAGAGAGATTAAACCTGAAGAAAAAATGCTTTGAATATATTTGCCATCGTTCTTTTCTTTTTTCAAGTTTATCTCCTGTAACATTTTGTGTCTGTTGGAATCCAAACCCAAAAACTTCAGGTAAAGGTTTTCATGGTAAGACATTAGTGTTTAGTTTTACAATAAGTTGTGAAATTCTGACTAAAACTCCATGAATTTGTGCTGTTTGTGCCAGCGTGCACATTAGTTCAAATTAATACGAGTGTAAATATTTCAACTCACTAATTCCAATGACATAAATTCTAAATATTACTTCAGATATTTATAGAAGGATTCTGTAAGTGTTCTCAATGGTAGGATTACAGGATTATAAAGCATCACGTCTTCTATCTGCTTTAGTCTCTTGAAACCTTTATATTAATATTTCTCCTCGTCTGACTCATCAGGAACGAGGGAGGCTGCTTTTGTCTACGCCCTGTCGGCAGCGACCATCAGTCACACCATAGCGCGGGCGTGCACGACCGGGGATTTGCGGATATGCTCGTGCGGTCCAATTCCCTCGCAGATCCCGGAGCCTGGCTATCGCTGGGGTGGCTGCGCTGACAACCTGCACTTTGGTTTGATGATGGGCTCCAAGTTCTCCGACGCTCCCATGAAGATGAAGCGCGCGGGCTCCCATGCCAACAAACTGATGCATCTACACAACAGTGAAGTTGGCAGACAGGTACGCAGCATAGACAGCTCTGTCTTAAAGGAGGGAACGTGTGGGGAAGCTGCCCAGAAATTCCAAATTGACTCCATGTGTTCATGTCCAGGTACTGCGAGAGGCTCTGGTCATGAAGTGCAAATGCCACGGTGTGTCTGGATCCTGCTCCATAAGGACTTGTTGGAAAGGCCTCCAAGACCTCAGGGAGATCGCCATGGACCTTAAGATCAAGTACCTGTCCGCAACCAAGGTGGTTCATCGGCCCATGGGGACACGCAAGCAGCTGGTGCCCAAAGACATCGACATCCGGCCGGTGAGGGACAACGAGCTGGTCTACCTGCAGAGCTCCCCGGACTTCTGCGCCAAGAACGACAAGCACGGCTCTGTCGGCACGCAGGACAGGTGAGACGGACGCTGTGATTGGCTGGTGTGTGATTGGCTCTGTCAGCCGGCTGTGCGGCAGCCTGTTAAATGGTCATCCCGTGGGATGGTCGGGGTGGATCTGGCTGCTGTGGTCAGCTGTCACAACCTGTGAAAACGCCACTTAGCTGGAGGCTCTGCGTCGGCTGTTGGGGCTTTTAGTGTGTGCGACAAAGAGCTGGCCGTTTGGTAACAGTGATGCTTCTCAGCCGTTTGCTGTTTGATTTGAAAGCATGACTCACATCAGCCGCAGACAAAGAGGAAATGACCAATCCTGCCTGTCTGCTCATCCGGGATGTTGACTTAAGTGAAGAGCTGTCATTCCTAGTGGCACCATTTACTTTCCGGGCTGGCTGATAACAGCCTGTGCAGCCTGAGAGTGTGTCGTCTGTGGCCTGTCTGAGCATGGGCCACAGAGAAGGCCGCTGTGAATGGAGTGCTTGTGCTGCTATCTGAGACAATTAGCAACGTGGTTATTCTTAGGACTGAGCCCACTCCAGCCGATATTGATTCAAGAGGGCAACAGAGAGAGGGATTTAGTTAATGGTTGCCCAAACACACCTTTCACTTGGGTGATCTATGAAAGATGGAGCTTCTGTGTGAGAGCTGAGGGTCTAAAACTGTGGAAAAAATACAGACTCTTTTACAGCATTATTAGAGTTTCCCGATTTCTGGATCTGGAGTATTATTATTGAGCTTTTTTTCTGGACCAGAGGATCCAGAGGGATCAGTTATGAAGGCATCCTGACTTTTGCCAGCACTGCCCCACTGCTGAGGCGTTTAACCAGAAACACTCTACTTCACTGTATTACAGAAAGTCAAATACACCCACAGGCCTCAGAGCGTGCTTCAGGAGCACCAGAATACAGCCGTGGCCGTGTTGAGCCTTCTGAGGAGCACAGTATTGTGTGGGCTGTTAGCAATGTCATACATCACATGATTGTCAAATCATGTGTCCCTCCGCCTTATGCCACTTATCACAGATAAGCAGGACAGGCTTCATGTCAAGGACACTCACTGTGCTCAGTGCATCCACAGCAGACTGATAACGCTCTGCCACACAGTCTGCAACACTACCGCTCTATTTCCATTAGCCGGGCAGATTTTATCGCACCAGCTTCCTGTCACATGGTCACAGCATCGTCCGATGTGCCACAACTTTCCCACTGCTGACTCTCCCCTCGTTAGTCACCCTTTTTCCTTTTATTTCTCTCCTTTAAACCGACTTATGTCCTCATCTGGAGGGTCGGCTCCGACGTCCTGCCACACCTGAGAATAGCAGCACAGCTTTATCAGTTATGCCTAAATCTGGAACAAGGAAAGAGGATTTCAGCCGTCTCTAATAGAAAAAATGTGATCAGTGCTTCTGAGGTGTGTTGTGTCCCTTGCAAGAGCCTGTACTTGAGTCTTAAATAACATTAAAGCCTCTCCCCCTCAGTCTACAGATGTGATGCTGGGCTGCTGTTGCTCCTGACTCAGTCTAAGTGAGTGGGGGTTTGCCAGCTCCCACAGATGTAATAAACCTGTCTGACACTCTCAATGACTCCTGTCCCTCCTCCCTGCTCTCATTCACTCCAGCAGCAACACCCCACACGGTCATTAACACTCTGCCATCATAAAACAAAACAATTATGTGCAGAGGGCAAGCCAGAGAGAAGGAGGGTAGCTCTGTGTATTCAGCGTGATTTATGACAGAACTATTCTCTGCTCATTCAGGATGCCCCAGGCCTCTGGAATGAGAGGCTCAAAAGCACCCATTGCTCACAGACAACTAGACAAAAAGAAAAAAATGGAAGGAAAAAATGTCTGGGATAAAGAGAGCACAAAAGGTTAAAGCCCAACAGTCAGTCAAGCGTTTTTAAAAGACTATTGTAGACTCTTGGCAGGCTCCGAGATCATGCAAACGGTTTGAGAAAGAAGCCATAAAGCCTCCGTGGTTTAGGCAAGGAAGCAATATTGAAATATTTACATCGGCTGGTTGGGGCCAACATCGTTGGGGAAATGCATGTCTGCTACGCAGAATGATGTGAATGTTTCAGTCGTTTCTTCTGCTGTCTGCAGGCAGTGCAACAAAACCTCGGTGGGCAGCGACAGCTGTGACCTGATGTGCTGCGGCCGTGGCTACAACCCCTACACAGAGAAGCTGGTGGAGCGCTGCCACTGCAAGTACCACTGGTGCTGCTACGTCACCTGCAAGAAGTGCGAACGGACTGTGGAGCGATACGTCTGCAAATGAGCGGGCGCTTCCCGCCAGCAGCCCTCCCCTCTGTGCCGGCCGCCCGAGGGCCACAGATTAACCAAAGCACCGCCGCGCCCAGAAGGCTGACTGCCCTCTTAAGCTTTAGCATGCCTATCTCAGCCAGAAGCGATCTTTTCTCATGCAGTATCATTTTTGTACGAAATCTCCAAACCTCAATTTGGGCTACAGGTTTTTTCTCCAGAACATACTCGGACGTGGAAAAGCGCGGTTCACCCGGGCGCCGCCATCCTCCTGGGTATTTTCTTCTTCATGTTTATAATTATAATCCCCCTTTTGCTCCCGCAAGGGAAACAGAGTCAGTTTTATCATATCTCTAATAAAAAGAAGTAATAGTGGATTCTAAGCTGGAGGATTCTCCTGACTTGTGTTTGACTCCATTTCACGGAAATACAAGAGCTCTCGTGGATCCACATTTTGTTTTTTAGGTACTGTTGAAACGTTTTCCTTCCTCAGCTTTGGAGAACAGAGGAACACAAAGGGAACCCGGCGTACTTTTCGGTCATGGAACGTTTTTGTGGCTGATGTTTTGGACTCTGAACATGTGCCCTGCGTGGATCGTGATATGCCTGCCTCCCTGTGGAAAGACAAACAAAACCAAGAACTTTGATATGGAGCCGTATCTCCTTTTAGTCTGACAAGCAGGCAGTTCAAAATATATTATATTTTTCAGAGCATATGAGCTAAACTCATGGATTTTGTTAACCACTTCTGTGTGGATGTATATACTGTTATTTTGTATACTGAAATAAAGAAAGAAGTATTTATAAAATAATCCACAACCTCCAAGACTTATTATTTTTTAACCAAGCACCAGTGAGTTTGATCAAATCCAAATTACCAACATGTTTACAGCACAGGGTATCGAAGGGTTAAAGGTGTTTATTGGGGCACCACCTGCATTAGCTGAACCCTTGGAAAGAGTTGAGACAGTCCACCTTCTCACAAGGGCCATTGCATAAAAAAGATCAGCCAGTGATCTGTTTTTCGCATGATTTTACAGTGAGAAAACAGATTTTGGACTACGCTGAACTTCAGCGGCACTGGAGCCATAATCTTGTCTGACCAAAGGCACAAAAAAGTGCCAAATCAAGCATGCATTTTTCATAGAACCCAGCCGGAGGGAATCTTTTACATTTCTGTCTATTTCCGTGACACTGTAGTTGCTTCACAGCAGTCCTTTTCATTTTGATTCATTTTTGGCTACAAATGGAGGCTAAGTGGAGCTCATTAGGGAGATCTATTTCAGGTAACGAGGAGAAATGTGACTCCAGATCCAAAGCCAAGTGCTTACAACCAGAATCTTATCTAACAATCCAAAATGATGCACGATAACGGCAAGACAGGGGCTTAAATCTAAATATCAGCATGTAGGAAGCCCTGAAAGCACAAAGTTTAATCGCTGCCTGTTGTTGTCCAGCCGCAGCGATAGGGCTGCAGCAGCTTTGGGGTTTGGGGGCAGGGGTCTGCAGGTGAGGGGGGTGGCTTCTCCGTCTGCACACAGGCCTGTCCGTCGACAGCCTCAAGGACTCTTCAGTCACTGGCATTCCTCAGACTGGCATTTGGAGAAAATAGGTTGAGCCCACCCACTGCTGTCCGTCACTATGTTTACCACCACAGAAATACGAAGCCTCAACTGCTGATTGAGGACCTGCACAATGCCCTGCAGCTCCACGAGGGCCAACTCAGAGGTCAAAAATGCACGCGCGTGTTTAAATAGAAATCAAACTTTAAAAATATCCCCCGGAATGTTTGAGTTTTGATAAAGTGTAAACGGTGAGGGCATCAGCTCGGAAACCTAAAGAAACCTAGAACCTAAAACCCTGACAGTGACGTTTTAGTCATTTCATCACACCTCTTTAGATTAGATAGCCCTCAATCTGTCCTGCTCTGGTGTGGACATGGTGGACCTGGCCAAGTGACCCTACGGGCAACAATGGTTATCATTACGCTGTGAGACTATTCGACTGACCTCAGAATAACCCTTCTTAAATTATCGCTCAGCGAGATAGTTCACACAATAACACATTACATGTGAGGCCTGAATGTGCCGCCACAGTGTGAACCCGTTGTTATCAATACCCTCCACATTATTCCATTTTCATGTCTGTCAACACAAAGTCGTGACGGAGTGGGAAAAGTGATGTGAGCTGGACGTGAGGACTGCCATGCTGAGCACTGAGGACGTTTGTGTCACAAATAAAATAATTGCTGTGGCGGATATCTTTCCTTTCTTTATTTCTGGTTTTGTCCGAGTGTCTAAGGATCTCCCCTTGGCCGGCGTGACCTCTTGCTCTGTGGGAAGGAAGAGAGGACTCTAATGGAAGGCAGTGAAAATATCAGGGGTTTATGTCAGGCCGGACAATACATTGCCAATTGCCTTTTGTGCAGCCTGCAGTCCAGATAACAAGCCGTGAATGAGGCAGACAAAGAATTTGGCTAGAGTGGTAAAGGCTTTCAGATGTACTGACCCGTACTGTAAATGGACTTTTGTGAACCCCCACCCCCACCCTCAGTCTCCAGCCTTTAAATAGGAGCCCTACGTGCTGTTAAAGGACAATTGTGTGTGTGTGTGTGTGTGCACGTCCTCAAACTTGTTGCCAGGAGATAACAGATCGTGCAAAGCATGCACCTTTCTCCACGAGGACAGCCCAGTGGACGGCCGAGGAACAGAAGGTTACCACCAGCAGTTTACGGGGCTCAACCGGAAACTAACTGGGCTTCTAAGTAAACTGGGTGTCAATATGATCCCCAGAGCATTGACGGGTCCTGCCCATGGAGATCGCACCAATTCTCCGTCAGAGTGTTATGGCTCGCTGTGAAATACTCCACAGAACTTAAAATCCTTCTTAAAACACCAAAAGCCTGTACGGCACAGCTCTGTCCTTACTTAAAGGTCTTTTTGTTCCCTATAAACCCACATGAACTTGTAAGCACAGGCTTATTTATAGTTCCCTGAATCTCCATAAGCAGAGCGGGTCTTTGGTTTTCAGACTTCTTTCCTTTGAAAACGGCTTCCAGTCCGAGCAAAGAAACACGAACATCGTCTCTGCTTTGAAGACGAAGCATAAAATTTCCCTTTTTGAAAGAGCTCACAATAAGGTCACAAGTGTGTTTTTCTATGCTCCTTTTTGTCTTGTGTATATTTTCAAACCTCTTTATTGGTCTTTTGGCTTTTTCATGACTGCTTTTTGCAAATTGCTGTTAGAAATTTGGTTATTTTTCCTCAATATCTGACATTATTTTTCATTTCCACATTTATTTGTCCTGCATTCTGAGGAAAACTTTGGGCTGCTTTTCATGTCTGAATGTTTAAAGCAAATAAAGCTGAACTGGGTTAGGAGAATGAAAATGTAAAGTGGAGATTTCACAGTGGCCATCACTCTAAAATAAACATTTTATTTTATTTTTGCACATAAAATCTGAATTTTTACTGCCTGTCATTTGCAGTTGGTTTGATTTTATTAGGATTTCTACTTTTACTTTTAATCTTCTACTTTTTGGAGTATATTTTCACACCTGTGCATGAATGGGTTGGTATTGACAGAACAACCATCCCACTGGAAGCAAAGCTCACCGCAGATGAAGAATTATCAACAAAAAGAACCTACTGTATCATCCTTCAATATTTTCTTTAATTATTCTGAGGAAGAAGGGCCCCCCTGAAAGCAGTGTATCTTAGCACTTGATATTACAGAAAACCTGGATTCTTTAAGCCCCTGTGACTTCTTTATTTTGACAAACAGCACACTGGGACATTTCAGACAGGAGTTGAGGCGAAGCACAGTTTTTTTTTTCTGAGTTAGAGACTCACACAGCAAATCTTTAATTCAATATAGCACACAAAATCAAGATAGCGTGTAACAACAAAGGTCAAGTAACCGGATTGCAAAGCTGTCAACATTCAGACAAGACATTTATCCCTCAAGTTATTCAGATAGAGCTAAAAGTGATATGTTTGTGAAAGTTAAGCAATATGAAACTTTGCTAAATAAATCTGATGTGATTAAAACACCACAAAAGGCAAATCTCTGCCTCCGTAATCTAAATACAGATTGAAAATCGGCACCTGGGTGTGTGTTTGTGTGTGTGTTTGTGTGTGGCTGAGCTTTGGTTTGAGCCAGCAATAGATGGACAGAAGAAGAGAGCTGTGGAGAGGCACAGAGTGAGACTGAATTAATGTGAATAAAAGAAACAGCGAGCCGAGTATGCTGGGAAAAGCAAACACCGCTCCGTGTAATCACAGAAAGTCTGAGCGAGGGGGCCGGCCGAGCAGGCGATGCCTTCAGCCGGGGAGTCAACAAACCCAGAGGAGAAAGCAGCTAACTAACCGACCGCACTGAGAGGGGTTAAAGAGGGTTTCTGCACGGTTTTATTCATATGAAGATCTACCATGTTTACCCAGCGTCTGGCAGACGTAAGCTATGTAAACTCCATCTTATAATTCCAGGATAAGATTCAAGCCCACAAATGTAAAGATGACTTTAGTTACGAGGTTTTCAGCCTGATGTGTGTGCGTTTGTTCTCTGAAGAAATCGGAGAATACGGCTGAGGCTATTTTTTGCTGCCACCGGCTGGATAACTCCCACTGTTCCAGGCCAGAGAGAAATTTACACCTCACCGGGAACACTGAGATCAGCTGTGATGATCTGATAAATGGAGCTGCCCGCCCCCCCGACTCACCACAGATCAGTTAAGGCATTTGGCCGGTTGCCTTTGCAAGGCAGATCATCACCTGCATGAAGTAATATCCACATCTAACAGGCAGCTGTCACGCAACGCCGCTCATGTCACATAAAAACATCAAAAGCATCCGTTTGATGACAGATGTGAGCAATGGTGGGTCAATAGGGAAAACAGCCAGACTCAGTTTCATTAGTATTACTGTTTTTATTACTGTTAAAAAGACTGTGCTTAATGCTCGGTCTTCTGATGCATCTCCCTGATTCAAAACAGCTTTTCATGCTCATCGTGTTAAAATCCAGACTAAAAACAGTTCTGTTTTCTGTGCATCTGACAACTGAATGCATTTTATCTGCACTTTTAATCTATTTAATCAATTATTGTTTCACTTTGTTTAACTTCTTCATTTTCTGCTTTTAAACCATGTAAAGCTCTTTGAATTTTGAAGGACAGCTACACAAATAAACTTGCCTTCATTTCCTCTAGTTTTAATCGTTCTGTTCAGAGGTGCAAATTTTCCAAGATAGTTTAATTAATGTTAAAAAATTATTTAGTTAAACAATGTGACACTTTGTAAGTATGAATTTTCATTGATAGCAAAGCTTATGTATTCTTCTGTTTCTCTGTAAAGTTGTTTTAAAATAAAATTAGTGTTAAGACCTTGATGTATGATGTGTCCTGTTTTTCTATGAAAATATCCTCCTCTTGTTGTGACTTTACCCAAAAGCTATATGGAATAATTTTCCTTCTTGGAGCTTTTCAGCCCAAAAACATCTTTTATCATTGTATTCAGAGGCCTGCTGCTCAACTCTTCGCTGTGTTTAAGCATTGTGTTAAACCCGCCACATGAATACTGAGGAATGAGGATAAGTTCAGACCTAAGTGCTAAAATTGCACCTCAACTTCCTCTGACACTTGTTGAGTAGCTAAACAGAGCTCACACATGCCCCTGAGCATAAAGACCATATGAGCTTAGAGCATGGCTCAAATCCCCTGGATCCGGTTAAATTTGTCTAAATGAATGGCTCAGGCTTAAAATTCAGACGTTTCTCCTCTTTCTGCAGCTCACGCGCATCACA